TTTTACATTGTGTGGATTTGTAGAGAATTTAACGGAATATTGATTTTATGCAGGGGTTGAAATTGGAAGAACATCGTTTAAGCCGTCGAAATTTTTAGTCGTTGGCCATAGAGGGAACGGGATGAATTTGTTGCAGTCTTCTGACCGGAGAATGAAGGCTGTTAAGGAAAATTCTATTCTTTCATTCAATTCAGCTGCTAATTACCCCATCGATTTTATCGAGTTTGACGTTCAGGTAGGAATATATTTTCTCTTCTTCCCCCATTGTGTTTTCAATGTTTTCCTCTCTGTTTCCTTTTTTTCCCTCTTTTTTGGGGGTTTTCCGGCGAATATTTTGTTTCGTGCGCCGCGTGCGATATTTTTTTTTTCTTTTCTTTCTATCCACTGTAGCAAACCGAAAAGCCCGAAAATCAATAAACTTTTCTCCGTAATAGTCACGACAAATTTTGAAAAAGGAAAAAAGTCCGTCTTTTTATTAGCCCTTTTGAATAGCTGTTGAAAATGGGATTTTGGACAATTTACGTTAATTCCAAAACCCTAAAGATTGGATCTTGCCCGAGAATTCTTAGAAAAATTCAGCAGGGTAAACGAAAATTAGGTAAAAAATAAATAATATGCTAGTTTAAACCCGATGTTTTTCCCATGTTCACCACAAGTAAATTTACAATGATATTCAATAATGATACTGATTTGGCTCTCTTTTTCTCTGCTATCTTTTGGGATTGCAAATTAATAGATGTGTAAAGAGTATCATGAAAAAAGTTGCTGATTACTTGGAGTAAAGAGCCCCTTGGGCTTTGACGGGAAAGTAAAGAAGTAAATGTCATTTTTTGTAGGTGACAAAGGATGATTGCCCTATCATTTTTCACGACAACTTTATCCTCACTCAAGAAAATGTAAGCTCTTCCAATCTCTATATATGATGATTTTTACGTTTTCCTTTTATGTACATTGAACTTGATTCTCATGGTTGCAATTATGTTATGCAGGGTACAATCTATGAAAGAAGAGTAACCGAATTGACGCTTGCTGAATTTCTTAGCTATGGACCTCAAAGAGAAGATACTGTAACTGGAAAACCTTTGCTGAGGAAAACAAAAGATGGAAAGATTGTTAGCTGGACAGTTGAAACCGATGATTCAGCGTGTACCTTAAAAGAAGCTTTTGAGAAAGTGAACCCTTCTATAGGCTTCAACATTGAACTCAAATTCGATGACCACATTGTTTATGAGCAAGACTACCTCGTTCGCGTTCTTCAAGCCATTTTACATGTTATCTCAGAGCATGCTAAAGGCAGACCAATTATCTTCTCAAGTTTCCAGCCTGATGCTGCTCTGCTTGTCAAGAAACTCCAGACCACTTACCCTGTATGTTCCATTTTATTGAAGTAGCAAATTTTTTGATTTCAATTAGTTGTACTATTTTCAATTGATTTTGACTTTTGGCATTACAATCTTGCAGGTATTTTTCCTCACAAATGGAGGAACAGAAATTTACTATGATGTTAGAAGGAACTCATTGGAGGAGGCCACTAAGTTGTGTTTAGAGGGTGGTCTTGAAGGGATTGTTTCAGAAGTCAAAGGCATATTTCGGAATCCAGTAGCAGTTAACAAGATCAAAGAGTCTAAGCTCTCTCTTATGACATATGGCAAATTGAAGTGAGTAATCAATATTGATTCACATGTTGTTTCTGTATTACTAATCAATGATTTGTGAAGGAGGAGCTTTGGTGTAACGGGTAAAGTTGCCTCCATGTGACCACGAGGAGGTCACGGGTTCAAGCCGTGTAAACAGCCTCTTGCAGAAATGCAGGGTAAGGCTGTGTACAATAGACCCTTATGATCCGGCCCTTTCCCTGACCCCGCACATTGCGGGAGCTTAGTGCCACCGGGGTGCCCTTTTTGATCTGTGAAGGAGGAACGCTAACTGTGTTTTGCTTTTCATGTCTCAGTAACGTGCCTGAAGCTGTATATATGCAACATCTGATGGGAATAGATGGGGTGATTGTGGATTTGGTTCATGAAATAACAGAGGCTGTGAGTAACCTAGTGAAGAAGCCAGAGGAGGCTGAAGATGAGATTTTGCTGGAAGGGGAGGAAAAAGTTCAAAATAGACCTCAATTCTCACAAAGGGAATTGTCTTTTCTTCTCAAGCTTATCCCTGAATTGATACAATAACATGCCTTCTCACTATTTTATGTTTGTATTTCTAGTGTGTCAAAACAAATCATTCAAATACCAACGAGGACATTCCCCACCGTTTGGTTATTGTAGATAGTGTTTTTAAGCAATTTAACTAGTTTACAAGCGTGAATGAGTCCTCACCCTTTTCACTGGGATTGTTATACTTTAGTGTAGAAATTTTAGGTAGGACCTTCCAACTTTTTCATTTTTCCTTTTTTCTTTGTAACCTTTACTACCTCTTGTTCTGTCATTTTTTCTGGCCATAACGGGTCCTCTGTAATCGACTATTGTACAATAACCTTGAACCAGAGATAAAGAAGCAAATGTTCCATAGCCATAGATGCTACTCCCAGTGGCGGAGCTGGGATATAAAGTTACTCGGTTCGGGATTTTAATCTTTTTATGTTAGTGGGTTCTAAAGTAAGAATTTATACACGTTCAATAAATTTCTTAAGTCAAATATATAGTTTGAACTAAAGTCATCGGGTTCGGCCGAACCCGATGTCGAAGCTCTAACTCCTCCCTGGCTACTCCTATTGTTTATTTTCTTAATAGTCTTTTGATAACAGCTTTATGAACACTAGGGCGTTAAGTGGTTGAATTGGACTAATTTAAATGAAATAAACAAGAGACTTTTTCCTTCCTATACCATATATAAAACCTTATTACCAAAAATGTGTATAGTTTTATATTTACCCGCCATGTTCACAGTTATTCTCCCAAAATATATATCATTCATTAAATACCAATTATTAGGAGCTGATTCCTTCCTAATTAGGCGTGCTACAAATCTGGAACTAAATATTCTTCCAGATATTCCCATTTAGGCGCGCTACAATTATGGAAGTAAATATTCTTCCAAATATTTTCCACCATTGACAGCCATTAAAAAGCTTGAAAGCTTTGAATTCAAATTTGGGTTTTCAAAAGTCATTATTTGTTTGGATTGGGTGTTGTTGAAAATAATCGAGAATATGGTTTGGAGTTTATATCTCAATTTTAAGGGGTTTTGGTGAAGATTAGACTTGGTTTTGATTGAATTTCAGATTGAAACTCGAAGAAGAAAAAGAAGAAGACATATTTGTATTCTGATTGTAGATGCTTTATTTTCTGTTTTCACAAATAAAAACGGCTAAAATTTCTACAAATCTTTTGAAAAAACGCAATTATGTCAAAAATTACAATTATGCTATAATTGAATGGGAATTGAGATATAAAAATTCAATGTACCTAGTTTGTAGATATTTTGTAGATAAATTGTAGATTATTTGTATTCTGATTGTAGATGCTTTGTTTTCTTATTTCACAAATCAAAAACGACTAAAACTTCTACAAATCTTCTGCAAAAAAAGCAATTATATCGAAAATCCCAATTAAACTACAATCGAATGGGAATTGGGATATTAAAATTCGATATACCCAGTTTGTAGATAAATTGTAGATTATTTGTATTCTGATTGTAGATGCATTATTTTCTGTTTTCACAAATCCAAGACGACTAAAACTTCTGCAAAAAATGCAATTATGTCGAAAATACCAATTAAGCTACAATTGAATGGGAACTCGGATTAAAAAGCAGCCTCCAATCTCACTTTACTTGTTGAATGTGAATATAGAAAGTCGAATTAAGAGGTTTACTTTGTTGAATTCATGGGTAGAATCAATGCGGCATTTTTTATCTGATCAAAAAAAAAAATCTATGAAACATTTTAATTTCCTGCCTGATGCATCATAGACTTGTCAATCTTGTTTATATATTCAAAAGTAATACAATATTAGATGTTTGATGTAGTAGGATTTTAGGCTAAGAATAGGAGAATTAGTTTCATTTTCGACGTTGGATATTCAGACTATATGGTATCCCATTCGACACTAAAAAGAACGATGAAAAGGAAAATTAAGCAAAAGGTCAGCTCCTTCAAAGAGGGAAAATCTCATGAGCTTGAGGATTTCAGAGAAACACAATTATTTGCACTGACAATAACTAAATATTACCAAACAAGTTTCCATAATCATAGGTTTTTATGTTTAATAACAGCACATAAACGTGGGTGAGGGTGAAGGTTTGAGAGAGAGAAACGTGGGAGGGGTGGGATATACGGTACCTTAAATTAAGGAGGAATATATGCTGTATTAATTGTACCCTTAAAATACACTATGGTATAGAATTGATAATTTGGTATACTAAGTGTAATTAAGTCAAACCTTAAACATTGAGGGTAATAAGGTTTCCTATGTGGCATAGGAATGTAAAAATTCCAATAAACAAGGGAGTATTAGAGGAGTACCTATAAAAGTGAAACTATTTATCCTGCCCTACCCATAAAAGAATTCTACCCACTAAATAATTACAATCTCCTACCCATTTAATAAATAAACGGGAATATCAAAATAACTACCTACGCTTAATGCCCTAACTATAAAAACCCAAAAGCTGCTCAAAATTTCAGAAAATAAGCGCACAAAATTGAGATTTCCACAGACATTCCCTAACTTGAAGATCGCTGATGCTGATACGCATCTTGTTTTCGGATTTTTATTTCGCTGTTGTTTTGAGATTTTGATTTCTCTGTTGTTTTCGGATTTTGATTTAGCTGGCAGAGCAGAATCTCAAAAATTATAAGTATCACAGAAGTTTAGCGCTCAAACTTCTGAATTTTTAGCTGAAAATTCTAATCTCGGTTTGGAGATCTGGAGATCTAGAGGTTTGATTTCGAAAAATCTATTGTTGAAATTCAATATTTGACATCAACACTGTTGAAATTTGCATTGTTGAGATTCAATTTTGGACATAAAAGTGATTATAACTTCAGAATCATGGAAAATATACCAATTCTGCTGCAGCATAGTGGAGAATGGGATGATAACAATAATTTCATAAATTTTCATTTTGATGCAATTCTAATAAAGACCTATTGGAAATTTGAACAACTTCTTGGAGAAATTGCAAAGCAACTGCAAAAAGACAGTAACACAATAGTTATTCAGTATGCTATTGCTCAAGGATATCCACCAATTACAATTTGCAGCGATATGAGTGTTAGTGTTTACATGGAATTGAAAAAATCAAGTACAGGGATGACAACACTTCCCCTGTGTGTGTCGTTTGCTAAAAACACTATAGCTGCAAGCACCTGCAGTTTCGATATTGCTCCAATTTCATCAAAAATTGCACAATTTGAAAGCACTAATATGATTAGTACGTTTGATGTGCAAGAAGGAGATGACGCCATTTTACAACTTGATGATGCAAACATCATAACTGATCAATTTCATCAAAATGTTGAAAAAGGACAAATTTACAAAGACAAGAACCTGCTGGCTCTCGTTATGAAACAGTATGCCGTTAGAGAAAAATGTCAGTATCGGATTCATAAATCATGCCCAAGAAGGTTCGTCAGCATGTTTTCAAGTAAAATACTATGTGATACCTATATAGTATATAAGTACGCTAAAGCAGTATACTATGCGAGTATGGATTGGTTTGTCTGTGTTTTATATCAGTGATACTGGTATAGTATATAAGTATGCTATATCAGTATACTATGCAAGTATATAATTGGTTTGTCTTTGTTATTATCAGTAAAACATAATACAAATATAGTATATATGTATGCTAAATCAGTATACTATGTGAGTATAGAATTATGCTGCTTTGTCTATGTTTTTTATCAGCAAATATGATACTGATACAATATATAAGTATACCAACAGAGTATACTATGTGACTATATAATTGTACGGATTTTTGTGTGTGTTTTTTATCAACAAAACATGATACATAACTGTATTTGTATTATAAATAGGTATATCCTTGAATGCGTGGATGAAAGATGCACTTGGAGACTTAAGGCATCAAGCCTGCGAGCATCAAATCTTTTCAAAGTGACGGATTTCAATTCTGTCCACAGTTGTTTAACTGATAAGAGATTTTGTTCACAAAAGCAAGCTGTCTCAGCTTTTGTTGCAGCTGTGGTACAAGATAAACTTGTTGACCTGAAAAGCATATATACACCAACAGATATCCAGAGAGACATCCAAAAAGCATATGGTATGGACTTAAGCTACATGCAAGCGTGGAGATTAAAAGAAAAAGCAATGCAATTGTTGAGAGGAAAACCAAGTGAGTCATACAAGAAAATGCCAACATATCTTTATATGTTAGAGTACGCTAACCCAGGATCAGTGACACGACTACATACTGAAGGAGATGGGAGCTTCTTGTATGCATTCATAGCTATATATGCATCGATTAGAGGATGGGTCTATTGTAGGCCAACAGTTGTAGTTGATGGAAGTTTTTTAAAGTCAACATATAGAGGGACCATACTCACGGCTTCCACGCAAGACGCAGAGGGTAAGAATACAATCCAGTTACATTCAGTTAAAGAAACAAAAGATTTTCAAATATTATATGATACCAGTATGGTATACAAGTATACCAACAGAGTATATAATTATTTTGCTACATACCTGCACGTACCTATGACTATACTACTATATGAAATACTAAATTAATATTGTGCGTACAATCCAATTACATTCAATTAAAGAAAGAAAAAAGATTTTCAAAAATTATATGATACCAGTATGGTATACAAGTACACCAACAGAGTATATAGTTATTTTGCTACACACCTGCACCTACCTATGACTATATACTATATGAAATGCTAAAGGAAAATACTACCCTCGAATTGAAGTTGTTTCTTTGGGTTTATAGGACAAATTCTACCCCTCGCATATGCAATTGTTGATTCGGAAATGATGCATCGCGGGAGTGGTTCTTCGTGCAGTTCAGAGAAACCTATGGACAAAGAGAGGGAATGTGCATTGTATCAGACATGCATGGATGGTAGTATGGAAGAGCAACTTCATTGTCTATCCAGAAGTCCCTCATTGTAATGATGTTTCCATTTGTGGACAACATAAAAGACAGACTTCAGGAAGAGCCAAAAACAATCAAAGAAGTATACTTTGCGTTTAGCAAGAGCATACACTGTTGAAGAATTCACAAGGACATATGGCAGAGTTAGAGCTATTGATAGTAGAGTGAAAAGCATACCTGATGGATATTGGATATGATAAATGATCCCGGGCGCATTCCAAGGAAAATAAAACCATGACCATGACATCGAATATTGCGGAATCAGTAAAATGCAGCAAATAAGCACGCAAGAGACCTTCCAGTTGTGAATTGCTCGACTTTATGACAACATTGATTCAAAAATGGAATTACACCAATCGGAAGGATGGCAGGTGGAATCATTTATGATGATTGGTGCAAAGTATGAAAAAATATTATCAGATAATACTATCTTATCACAGACGATGACGGTATGCATTTTCAAATCATAAAAATACTCATGTATGTAGTTTTACTTTTTTACCTTAGTGATTTCACTAAACACTGAATATTATTATTTGAAAAATACTATTACTCGTAATAGCTAATGACTTTTCTTAAATTAAAATTATACTAGGTGTTGCCATCAACTGAATTCTTACATTTAGTAATTGATGGGCCAACAAGAAATGTGGTGCGCCTACATGAAAAAAACTGCACTTGTGGGAGTTTCAGCTAGACGATATTCATGTCCACCTGCAATGGCAGTTATACAAAAATTCCATATGGATTTCAATAAACAAGTATTGCTAGATTACTATAGCATAAGAGTACTTGCTGAAACATATGAAATAGCCAAGTAAATCCTTTGCTAATGAAACAAACGTGGCAAATTCCAAGAACATGTTCTCTCGCAGGTGGTACTAGCCACAAAAGGAAAAAATCAAACAACAGGAAAGTACCTAAAAAGAAGAGAGGCAATAGGAGGCTGGGAAGGAAAATAGTTACATGTGCACTAATGCGGGAGAAAAGGACACAACCGGAGAACCATGCCGAAATATTCCCAAAGAGAGATTGATATAATGCTTCAATGTTTTCATTGAACTCATATTCGTAGAATCATAGCATTTGAATTGCAAAGAAATAAAATGCATTTCTTGGCATAGACATATATTTGGTATGATGATTCTTTGCGCGAAATTACCTTTTTTGGAAACAAATTTATATGGCTACTTATGTTTTCAAGAAGAACCTGTTTATTTCCTATTTTAGTATACAAAAGTGGATGCATTTAAATCTAGTTAATAGAGGATCGGGGCATAAATTCCAAAAACGACCGGTCGGGTCGTTACAATAAATGTGATACTTAAGTGGTATATCTGTATACCTTATTGGTATATCTGTATATCTTATTCGTATCAAAATATGTGCAGAAATAGAAGTGGTGCCGCAAATGCAACATTTGTACATACATCGTTAACAAAATGGGCACGCTTTGCAGCTCATGTCTGTATTGAAGTATAACAAATTGGAAGCCATTTACATGCAGTTATTGTACATCATCAGGTACATAAATATAAGGTGATACCCAAATGGTATATTTGTATACCTCACTGGTATATAGTGGTATTGCACTAATATGGCTAAAACAAAATATGCGCAGAAATACAAA